CGATTGCGCGCCAACAATGAAGACAAGAAATGCGGAAGGGCTCGGAGATGACGGGAGGGGTAGCGGGCTACGTGCAAGGGCGGTCATACCAGGCAGGGTCGCCATAATGCGATGGGGCTGGCGCCGGCGCTACTTTGTTGGTGTGGGACGATTCTCGTGTTGGTTGGTTCGGAGCTTTGCTAGTCAGGACGCGTGCCGTCATCGCCAGGGGTTAAGCAAGCTTGGATCCGAGATGCACGTGACTACGCGTTCCGCCAATTAAACAAGGCACATCCGCGGGGTATGCGATCTTCGACGGTTGCATCCTTTGCGACGACAACGTTGCTGCAGTATGCCTTCGTGCCCTCCCCCGATCCTCCATGTAGTCGGTAGCGCAATGAAGTGGATGTACTGGTCGAGAACTGAGTGACGTACCAATTTTCGCTGTGTCGGTAATGAAGACAGATTGCCGTACGAGCAGCACCCGTGCGTCTGCAGTACAACAAGTAGTCAAAAGGCTGTCTATCGATCGAGATTTTATGGGCTGTTGTCGCGTTCGCGAATTCCACCAGGGGAGCTGACGATGTCAGACGTGTTGCAATGTTGAGAGTCCATGTGGTCGGTCGAGAGGATATCTCACTGCTGGGTGTGCGTGTAGAGTCACTCTTTCGGCCGATACCGCGACGAAAAGGTCTATCACAGCTTTCGAGCGAGTGTCAGAAGCTGCGTTGCTCCGCATGATGGCCAAGCGCGAAGCACCCCGAGCTAGATCCGCGCCGTTGAGCTTGAAGATCAACATACGGCCCGCACCGCGACTGCGGCCCCGCCCAGCCCAGGGCAGTGATCCCAATAAGTCCACCAGTGAGGGCGAAGGTTGAGGGGAGCCGTGCAGATCTCTATCGCATACGATCTTGCTAGATCTATTCCGGTTTCTGCCCGAGTAAACTGTAGACGCGAAGGTTCTATGGGAGAGACGAATGGGGCGGGTGGCATGCTGTCTCCGATCTTCCGAGCCTGACCCAATTTTGGCAGCTGCATCCTCGCTCGCCACATGTTCAGCCCCACGCATAAATGTCATAAAGAGACACGATAATGTAAGGAAGGATATGCGCAATGAATCTAGATAGACTTGGGTTATTGCATGCTAGTCAACGAAGGGCGCATACGTCACCTTCATCTGTGCGGACTGCGGTCAGGGCATCTTGAGAAGAAACGGAGAGAAGCTCGGTGCATTGTGTGCTGATATCCATCTTTACATAGTATGAAGACTAAACCAACAACGATGCCATATAACACATTGCTGGGACCTCAAATCGCGTACTCCAAGGCATGAGCTGAAGAGGAGCTCACAATCGAGCGGCGTTCGTGCTTCTCACGATGAGCAGGAGGGCAAAGTCTGCTACAACTTGCGCGACCCCCTTCGTCTCCATCACCTCCACCACTGGTTTGGTGGTCGCTGTCTTCTTGCCTCCGATGGCGGTCGCGCTACCACTGGCACCCGCGTTTCCAGGCGATCTGTGGCGCCCGTGATCTTGAACCTTCTCTAGGACTGTGAGAGCTCGTCAATCTGATCTTGCGGAACATAACTCTCAGCGGAATCTCTCTGCCTCTTTCGGGTTCGTGGTAATGATGTGTGGTTGCTGTTGGTTGCCTTTGACTTCGAGGTCGACTTGGGTGTTGCCACACTCCTACGAGGCGTCTTTGGATTTGCCGTGGCTTGGGTGGTGTGAGAACGGACAAAAACCGATCCGCGAATAGCGAGTGCTGACATGCGTCTAGCCTCTTTCAATTCGTGACTCGCCTTCTCTATAGCGCGAGCCTTTTGCCAAAGGGGAAGTGCGTCCTTGATAGCTTGAAGCCGATCCGCAAGCGCCCAGTCCAGGTGGCTCTTCAGGATCGCTTGGGCCTTCGCGATCTGCTCCTCCATAGACATACTGCACGAGTACAGTTCTTTCATAAAGTATTTTCCATTGTCACCCCCTTCGCTCCAATGTAGCCAGAGCTGTAGCAGCATCATATCGCATGTAACGGACATGTGCATCGTGTAGGCGGAAGTCGCAGGTATGGTATCGCCGTACGCGGACTCGAAGTATTGCCGATGGTAATTTACGATCGTCGCGCCGTGGAGAGCAGACTTCTTCATGGCGTTAAGGATGGAATGTCCGTCTGCTGCTTCCCACTCGGCAGTGAGGAACGGGAAGGATAGTTCGGGGTTCAGCGCGAAACTAGCAATCTAACGTCAGCATGGGAATCTGGCGAGTGATCGTCAACTCACTTCTCCAGGAACTCGTCATCCTTTTCCGTCAACCCTGAGTCTACACGGGTCACGGTATCGCGGGGATTCAAGTACCCAATGGCGAGATCCGGTTTATATCTCAAGGCTTCCGAATCGGAACTTGGTGGGATTGGGACAAAGTCTGTCGTCAGGGTATAGTCGTGGCTGATATCGATGTTGGGTATGCCACGTGCGTAGCCGGTTCGCTCTCCCTGGAAGAGCAACAGCGGCTCCACCATGTCGACGGCACTCTTCTTGTCCCTGGAGCGGGCCTCTCGATGCTGACAGACGATTTCTCGTGCGCTATGAGCCTGTTCGGGCATGACCGGCGTGTTCAGCATTTGCTCCACACGCTCATTCAGCTCTTGTGGGAAGGCCTTGTCGGCACAGTCGACGATCAGATTGTGTTCGACTAGCTCGTCGATCGTGCGCCGGAACCTTTGGGAGGACGGTGTAGTCGGGGGTGCCATGCTGAGCGAAAACGAAGAAATGAGTTGGGCGGGTGGAAAGATCAATGACTGGCTGGCGATGGTCGAGGAGGCGCTTGTCTAGCAGTCACGTCGAGCATTTTGAGCTCAAGGTCGCGAAATGCAATTTGTTTGCGCGATCGCGAGAGATGTGAGCGATACATGGCGCTAACCCCATGATGGACGATGTCTGCAGCTTTCCGCAAGGCGCCCCGTCGTTCTCGCAAGCCTGACCGAATCTTCTGGTGTGGATGGACGAAGGAGCAAGTGTGCCTGTGATTTATATCGTAGCAAGCGAACATGGACGGCAGTGATCTGAGATGCGAGAGTGGTGGCTGAGAATGGAGACGTGGGGTGGAGGAGGACGCGCTGCGCGCCAACCCTGAGAGCCGCCGGCGCACGCCAAGCGAGCTAGTGCGCGTCACCTGTACACTACCACACCACTCGAGATGAACGACATTGACCCGGGCAAGATTGTACGACATGCACCACCAACATATGTGTGGACACTTACGCCGGAATGTGGACAGTGAGCGAAGTGCATCGCCTACGCAAGTCACCATCGCACCTTCCAACAGGCGCCAGATAGCTGGTTGACATGCAGGCATCGATGGAGCCGGAACCAGCTCTCTCGGCGTCAAATCCACGCCGCTTGCCACTTCACAGACCTACGGGCACTCGGCATACCATCACAATAGCTCTGCTGTCAACAAGCTTCATTTATCAGCACTTCCATTCACGACACTGGCGCCACAAGTACCTTTAGCTGCGACACGGCCGAGGCGGACGCTGAAATCAACACTTTCGTCCCATGTTAGAGGCCGACATGACCGGACTGTGAGGCTTCAGCACCTCCGAATATTGAACCCCATCTTTCACACCCAGACGACTACAAAGCGACCAAGAAGGTCATGAGACGTGCTGAAGTGTGTTTCAGAGCAGACAAGCGGTGTAGACGCAAACATTGCTTCTGGGTTGGGTCAACGTCGTCTCCATGGTCGTGGATCGCAAGACCGCACACTCGAACATGGCAAACGGTTGTCAGAGCCTTGCACTGAATGTCAGGGATCGCATCATCAACCGCAACGATATCTTTCCTGGGATTGGAAAAGTATGGGCCTGCATGACATCGGGAGAGGCCTGAGGCCGACCACCTGCGCGTTCGCTATCCTGATCCGCTAAACAAGATGGCCAGAGAAGTGGGAATCCTCAAAGTTCAGAACGACGACAAGCACAAGGTCGAGGCCGCTTTACCACGGGTGAATTTCCACCACTACGGAGCCAACGGGCATTCGCGAGAATTTGATATGGAGAGGGAGGCCACGCGTGACTTCCAAATAAACAGCCTGATACAGCAGAGATCAGGCATCCGCGTGTACAAGGAGGGTTTTACGACTGGCAAAACCTTCGGTATTTTGACGAACATACACTTCAGCATGAAAGGTGCCTAGTATGCACCAGTGAAGCAGGAGGTCAGAGACAAACCCGACGAAAAGCTCAAGATCAAGGATCTCGGTATTTCCTTGGAGAAATTATGGCGGCACGACATGCACAAGTGGGCCGGCATCGTTAGCTGGATCGCTGAATGCACCCCGTTCGCCGCCCCAGGCGACAGTGGTGCTCTGATATATGCAGTGGAAGAGAGTCAAACGGTGCCCTTGGGCATACACATTGGTCGCCTGACGTTCTAGGAAGACCGCAGCATTTTGTTGGGTCTCGAAGCTTGGTTCGTGGAGGGGGAATGCCATCAGCTCAAGTTGCACTTCTGACCAGCTTGCTCGTCGTCGACATCGACTATCATTCCTCAAATTGCACGACACCCAAATACCCATTCATAGACTTAGATGATTTCATAGCACCGGCTGAGCGGCAGACGAGAATGCTACTAATGTTTCCCGCACTGAGTCTCAACTTCGCGTGACCCTCGTTTGGCCGTTACGCCAATGTTATACAAATATGAGCCTAACATCGAACAGATGTTTGAACAGGGCTTATGCAAGTCCTGGTCTTGCGTTGACGCAGGCGTCAAGCCACGTGGCGAATCACACAAGAGGCTTGCCACATATCTGAGCATCCTAGTCTACTTTGGCGATAAGCAATTTAGCATTGCAGGTAGTAGCATGGTATTGGATGCTTTTCCTACTGAACGCTCAAGGTGGGAGAAGGCTCCGTACGCGCGCAGATAGGCAATATACTTCACTGGGCTCGATACAAATAAGACTCCTACACTCCACTTCCTATCTCATCAACTCATAACACTTATTCCACACCCACAAACCATGACCAGCCCTGGAGCTATGGCCAACAACAACTCCCTCGAGAAGCTCATCAACGGCTTCTACGGAGTGCCGCTGCCGCCGCGACTTCCGCCCGCATCAACCAAGCGTATCCCCGACATCGCATGGAGAGGTGACGGAGTGGATCCGTTTTTCTATGGAGGCAGACTCTCAACAGAAGCGCCGGACCAGATGCAATCCAAGAAGATCTGTCGTCGTCGTGCAGACCTCGAGTACCTTGGCCATAGGCATCTTCACTACTTGGACCTCGCCGTTGTGATCGGCCCAAAGTCCAATGAGAGGGACTGGCTTGAACGAAGGGGGGCAATGAAGCAGGAAGTATCCATCATGCATGGCAAGCTAGCCGGTAAGCATTCTTTCATTGCCATGACTCTCGAGGCTGATATTCCGCTTTGCAACGTCAAAAATGAGCACTCACGAAGAACTCGGAATCCCCCCGCTGCTCGTGAAGCCACCTATCTCTCCTCCTTTGAAGTGTATCAACGAAGACGTCGAGTTTGGTGTTGGTGTTGATGGGGAGGTTACGTTCAATCATTGCGTGAAGCACGGGGTAACATGCATGAACCCGCTACCTCATTGAACCTGGAGATCGCCCAGAAGTGGACCAAGGATCAGGATGTCAGGATGCACTGGGTCTATTCTTTCCCCGGAAGAGACACAGTCAAAACGATGGGTATGGCTCACGGGCAGATCATTTTGTGATAGATCTAACATTGCTTTTTGTTCATCCAAGTCCATGATATATACCTATATATGATTGTACGGTTCTACAGCCACCACTGGTCCATTCGATAGCTTCCCTTCATTCATGTCCAATGTATACTGTCTGTCCTCGAATGAACCCGCTGCCAATGGAGCGAGCTAAGGGAATTGAACTAGTTCCGCTTAGCCCAGAACTCCGCGAGGACGGTATGCAGTATACGATGTTGGCTCTGGGCTGACATCGCGGAAATTTTCGGCAGCCGACGAAGGGCGAAGACGGTGCCCTTCCCTGGAGTCGGGATTCGAGGAAGAGTCGCGAGATGTTTCATCCAGGAAAGGATTTGTCGGGCTGACGGCATGATGACCTCCGGCACTCTTCGGTACGGGATGCATTTCCTGGTTGTCTTCCAGATCCGAGTCGTCTCCTAGGCGTTGATGATGAGGTCCAGCGTGGCCAAGCTCACCATTGCAGTCGTCGCAACGACGTTTGCCACAGCAGCAGCAAAGATGACGTGACAGCCACGAACGCGGCATCTTGGCGTCCGGGCCACGGATAAAGCGACCGGGATGGACTATGTTCCACACAAAGATGGCCAACCACATTGGAGCTGACTCCAAGACGTACAGGAGAGGCTCGTTGCTCGGCAGAGGGTTGCTTGCGCCAAGACCGGCGGAGAACTCGGCGAGACGGTAGATGATGCGAATAGTGATAGCCAGCAAGCATGCGTACAGCGCGTACAGCAACCATTTCCAGCCACCAATCTTGTCCGCGGGCAAGCGTCCCACCCTCTCCGCCTGGAGCTGGTCGCGGTGAAACTTGACGACCAACCCCAGAAACAGAACAATGAAGCCTTCCTGCATACCGATACCACCCATGTATATGTTCAAGCCCTTCTTTTGTGCTTCCAGACTTGCACCTGGACCTGCCATTCCCCCGCCAACGAGCTGGATGACAAACGAGACAATGTCGAGGGTGACGAAGATGAGTGCGAGGATGGAGGGGGAGAAGAACCAGACCTTGCGAGTGGGCGAGTAGAAGTGAACGATGCGGGCGAAGACCATGTAGGCGAAGGCGTTCACCCAGATAGGCGCTACCAACACCAAAATCTGAGCGACCGTTGCGATGCCGGAGGATTGTTGATCCTTGGAACCAAGAGCGCGAAACGCATATGCGCCAGTTTCCCAAAGAGCGGCCATTATGATAACCCAGCAGAAGCCGTTGCGGTACACGATCGCTTGAACCAGATGTGCGATTGTGAGCATACCAAACAGGACAGAGAAGGCTACTGCCGCGGCGAAGTTGGGAAAGTATACCCACAACGCATTGCATGCCTCCGCAGGGACGTAGCCATCGAGCCCGGGAATTGCGTACGAGCTGAAACCAGGCGTGCAGGTCTCAGGTGGAAGGTCGAGTGAGAGAGATGGTATGGAAGGTTCTGCGATCGATATTGTGGGAAGGTCTAACGAGAACGGCGCAATGCTTGGTGCGAAGTCGTCATCACGACGAGAAGGCGGAGCGGTTGCTGATGGAAGAGAGCTTATGACATCTCTAGCGGCAGTGGCTGGGGAGGGTATTGACGTGGGTGTGGGTGAAGCGATGCAGTGGAAGGGCAGTAGGAAGGCGCTGAGAAGCGCAAGTATATATCTCATGGTATGAGCAGCACGGGAAGTAGGTGTAGATATCTGTGATGTTTTGTGCGGACAATGAACCCACGGGGCATTTCACCGTTATACATATTGACTAAAGGAAGCTGTTGTTGATACATACGTAGGCAGTGCTGCTCTAAGGTCGTGGACAGCGAGGCTGAGGATGGAAGACGTACGCACCTCGCAAGCCTGTCTCGATCGGGCGGCTGAGACATGTACTGTAGATGTTGCTTGCGGATGGGGCGTAAATGGCTTGCATAGCGTGGCTGGCGGCTGTAAGCAGCCACCTCCCCATGTTTGATGCTGGAGTTTCGCTTAGCCCCTGGCAGGGATCGCGAGTGCGAAAGATTTTGGGTGATAAGATGCAGCTCGTGCTGGAGAATGAATTGCCGTCGATGTGGTAGTGCAATGGGTCCGGTGGTGAGAGACGTTGACCGTGCAACCACTCCGAACCAATGTGCGTGTTGAGCGCGACACCAGGGTTGCACCCCTTGGAGGAATGCTCCCAACTAACCTGGGAACGAGGCGGAGCGCTACGGTTAATGCGTAGGGCGCCTTACCAGTTGGGCGACGTTCGCAACTCCCGCTCAGTCTTCTGCCCCACGTTTGAACGTGTCCCTCCTCCTGGGAATAGAGCGTCGCAGACGTATCAGCGTGGAAGGTAGGATCTAGAGGCCGTTATGCGGGCACCGGTTGCGCGGCCATTGAACTTGGCATGGCAGGGACAGGAATACGGCGCGGACAGGGGCGAGCGAGACGGACGCCTAGGTGAAAGCCAGCGCAATTCGAATGAAGAGCGCCGCGAGCCGCGGAGACCGAGCAGGAGGGAGAGATGAAGATGAGGGTAGGGCCTGGAGGACGAGACGAGGGGCATCGTCCACGCTAGTCCGGTTCTAGCAAAGTCTGTACCGGAAAAAACCATGGTGTAAACAGTGGTTGCAGAACACATCCGAATGCCACCCTCCGACCGAATACCATGAGATATCCTCGATGTACTTGCAGACACCGATTGAAACCACAATAGAACGCCAATTTGGCGGTAGCGTTGACTGCTGTCAATGTCGCAAGTGGTGCCATGATGTTTGTGTTGCGCCCTTGAACATGGGAAGAGTCATCTGCGCGTACTGAAGCTATTGTGCCTCACTCGGACAGAGGTCGCAGTTTCGATCAAAAATTGAGCGTTTGCAGCGGTCACCTGACTCCACTCACGGCCCCACTCCATAATTCACATTCGGGAGCTGGAGCGGCGGCCTAGACGACATCAATCTCTACACGACCAACGCTTTAATTAGCAACCACCCATAGCTTCCCCACGATGTCCCTCGGCAGCCTCGATCCCGATGCGGTATACATGGCAGCGCAGGTAGTTGAAACACAAGGCCGCTGCCTCATCACTCGACCGGCTACACCCGACTGGGCCGGGTCATACGACTTTGACTTCGTCCTGGATCTTGACGAGAGCCTACGTTTGCTCCTTGATCAAATGGAACATAGAAGAGACCACTACGGCCGTGATGCTATCGAGTCGCGTCCTGCCCATACACCGGAGGCGATCTTGGCGAAGCATTGCGGCACCGAACATGGGAAGGCGCATCGCGAGGGCAGAATGACCATTGGCGCTTCTACACCGGAGGAAGACTACATGCGGGATTTTTGGGAAGGCGTACCTACCAGATACAAACAAAAGATTCCCTTGCCACAGCTCTACCACGACTACACCAGGAGCGTCGGCGTCGCAGCCACGGCACCGCCTTCTCACCAAACCAGCAAATCTACTGTCATCCAAAAGCACTCTCGCGGTTCAAGCAGCAGCGACACCGATGATCAAGCCGCCGTCTTCTCTCGGCCACAGCGAGGTGACTGGACCGTGTTGATCAGGCCGTCAGAAACCCCCAGTCAAGATACCCTTCTGCACGGCTCCACCTGCGTCCCGAGATTCCCCGCACGTAGGGTCAAAAATGCGTCTCCATGGATGACATCTGGATGAAACGAGCGAAATCAGAGTCTGAGTGTCCAGCGCACACGATATCGATACTTGCCGAGCTTCCGACATCTGTGGCCGATTACGTCAAGAATACCAGCGAACGATGCGCCGGACGGTTCACAAGCATTTGGGCAAAGATTGGTACGCGGCACTTGTTTCCACAATGCTATCATGCCATTACCTCCCTATGTCTCCATTTCCAAGACCAGCATGCGGCGGACGTCAAGTGCCAGGCGCAATCTTTCGATACAGTCGAGATACAGCATGCCATTGGGTCTGGCTCACATCTGTGCGAAGAAAGTGAAGTTATCCTCAATTCTACGACACTCATAGCTAGGACTTGCGCTTCCTACGCGCTGCTATACTGAGCTGTGTCGCTTTATAGCCTTCTCACTTGGAAACCATTGGCAGTGGAGATGACGCAAAGATCTCGCCAGTACAACGCACTAAATAGTCATATGCTTCAAATAAAAATATTCAACAAGCTCAAAGCCACAGAGCTATTCAACCCATGAACGTGGCCTACATGTGTCTGCTTCGTGAACTACTGGTGCGTTATTGTGGCTATTAAATATCAATAGAACTGGATAACCTCACACAATGTATACGGGATCGCGATCTTAGCTCAATAGTCAAGGTTGCCCAAACTTTTCTCGTTTGAGGAATACGAGAAAGCGTAATACTTTCGGCATCACCCTGATACGGTATTGTATCCAGGAACTGTCTCCCCATGTACGGGTAATGGTTGTGCCCTCAAGATGCGACCAACTCCCATTCTCGATCCTTTTCAGCTTCTCTTGCATGTCCGTTCACACTCGCATCCATGGACCTGTTCACAGCATCTGTGCTAGCCGCCTGGGTACTGCCACTATGCGCCGACGCCCTCACCGCTTTTCCATCCAACTCCCCAGCGCGTCGCCCCACATCCGCGGTGTGAAAGGCGCCGAGCATCCGCGCGTACTTGTTGGCTCCCTCTGCTGTCTTCTTCTACCCACCGGGTCAGTGCATATAAGAAATTGGGTGAACCAAGTCCTTACGACGATGGACTCCACCCTACGTCGGATAGGCAAACGCTGTTTATGCTCCCCCAACGATTGCTTGCAGTCTATGTGGAAGATGAACTCCTCTGCATCTCGCTGAACGGCCCGCAGTTCTTGCCTGATACGCAGCGCGCGTTCGTCAAACTCGTGTAAGAAGGCGCGATCGCGCAAAGTCGCGGCCTTCAGTACCGCTTCTTCTGCTTGACAATTGGTTTCCAGTGTCGCAAAATGGTCCTCGAGCTTGCGGTAAGAGACACTGGGGTCGGAAGCTGTCGCCATATTCTCGCGATTCACTTGCAGAACGCTCGTGTGTGCAAGTCCGGGGTGTTTGGGGAATGATGTGCCGTGAAGAGAGGGAGAAGAATACGGTCGATGCTGATTGCAATGAGAGCTCAGCAGGATAGAACGATGTAGCTCTTTGATCCCATCGTTCAGATAAGATGTGTGTGAGGTGAGGGAGGATTGAGAATGCCGCGTAACGCTTGACGTTGTGTAGCAGGTGAAGGTGATGAGTGAGCCGTGAAGGTACCATTAACTACGATTCCACCCCGTGGAAAAATGATAGACTTCATACTCAAGTACTGGGGTCAGAACATAGTAGTAGTAATAGGAGAGAAGAGGAGAGTATTTATTCATTGTAGCTACAACTACTGGAGATATGCGAAATGGGAACGTAATATTGCAGATTGATGGAGAGTACACAATTGACGCATGGGATGATGGGGATGAGAAAGTCAAGGTCTGGGTCAGTCGATGATGTCGCCAATGTGGAGCTAGCCCTCTTACGGTCAAGCTTTGATCGTGCACGTGAGGACGTACGCTAGCGCGCATCGACGCGACCCCGCATTGACATGTCGCGACAGCGCTCCTGGTGTTGCGTGTCTGCCGTCCACACATCTTTCCCCATCTCACGCATCACAACAAAAGATCAATTGCGTGATCGCGGTTCCTCACCATCAGTCTCGTCGCGCTATGACTATTCGAACTCGAGCTCGCCCCAAGCGAACCGCTGTCGAGCTCCTCCAAAGGAGCCGGAGTGGCTGATACATGCGCGGACGACTTCATTCATCTACGTAAAGGTGCCGTCTCTACAACTGGTCTTCGAGAGCAATGGCGCTGGTACGACATCTTCCCACCCCAAAAGTGGAATGGCAGCTGCTGACATCCTCACCTAGACGATCTCTACGACTGATGCGATGGCCACAGCCGAGCCGCTTTTCTGAGGACCAGCCCGAAGCAAGCACGACGCGCATGCTTGACGTCTTGCCCCTCGTCGCACACTCGCCTACCTCTCTGACACGTCGCCGCGAACAAGAACACCGTCAAGGGGGAAATTCGCTATGACCGAGAACGCGCAACAACGAGAATCGATCGACGGCGCGGCGCTTGAGATTGCTGTAGGAAGGAGAGGCCGTATGAGCTGGAAGGTCATGGCTAGGTGGAATTCGCGCCGCCTTCATCGAAAGGCCTCCCGCCTTCAGCGACGACGTCCGTAGACTCCCTGCGATACCTCATCACCACAGAAGCGGCCCCTGTTCACGATATGCAAGACTTTACGGATGCGCCGAAACGAAAGTTCCCGGAGGAGTAGAAATATGAGTCGGGTTGGAGTAGTCTTTGGCGGCAGTGGAAGCTTTCGACCGTTGCTTCGGCCATGTCTCGAATACCGCGATGCAGGGGCTCAGCGAAGGGATTGGTATGAGCCGCCAGCAGCTCCATGTGGCTTTCTCCTTCTGTCATGATCAACACTCTTTCCCTACTCATGGAGGCTGAATAGCAGCAATCACTTTCTTGACAACGTCGACATCTTCATGTATCCGGCTCCCATGCCCCCGCTTGCACAGGTTGTATTACCTTCTGCCTTGCTAGCATTGTATCAATTACCCTTCCGTCTGACCTGGATGATGATGAGGTCGTAACTTGACATCGAATCATCTTCGATTGCTCTCGCGCGAAAACCACTTCCTGCTCTGGACCGTACGTTGGAATGATGTATCGATACTTGGGGTAGCTAAACTCTATCTCGTATTTGTTGCTTACATTGTATCAACTCTTGATACCTAGCATGCTTTGAAGACATGTATGAGCTTTACCAAGCAAGTTATTTGTAGACTGCGATGTGGATCAGAGCCATGTCTACCTAGGTAACGTCAATTGTCGAAGGGTGGCGTGACCAGCTCCTTCAACTGATGTGCTAGCAAAGCTGGATGGATTATTGATATAGTGGAATCGAGCTTCCAGAAGATAGCGGTATCACCCATTCCGAGACGATTGATAGACGAAGAACTGGCTAGCCGTCTGTAACCGGATACTCATTATTCCTACCCTGCGAGGCATGGATGGTCGCAATCGCAGGCGGCAATGGATTCATGCATCGAGAATCTCTGGAAGTCACTCCCCTTGAGTCTTGTCACAGTGCCGAATCTCATACGATATGAATCGAAACACTGGTTGACAGTTCGGGTGGTGGCGATGTCGCATCCGCGCACGGGCTGAGCGTTGCTGCCTTCAGATGATAGCAGCATCTATTCGAAGAGGTTCTTGCATCTCACCGAAGCCGAGTGTAGTAAGCCTATTAAATCGTTTGTCGAGATCTTCTCATTATCTCGTTCGATTCGGCAGGCACCTAAGAAGATGCACTGTGGGAGGTCGACGCTGACCCAAAGCAGCCTAGCTCAGGTTGCCGTCACTGCCATCCAGGAATGTCATCGTGGCCGTGAGCTCCTTCCCACTCATCCAAGCACGCGGCCCTTCTCTCACGTTTCACCCCACATCGTCCAATCCGCCAACGATGGGCATTCACGGTCCACCTTCTCGCCTATAACATGGGTACCTCGTTAGCGAAGGATGCCCGAGCACTACAACGCCAGATTTCTACCTTGCACGCAGACTCGGAAGCCACGCTGATCACATACTCCAAGCTACTGCACAAGTACCCCGAAGACCGTCGCGCCTTGCTCGCACTGCTCGACGCGACCGCACATAGCATCATCGAGGGGTGGAGGCTACGAGCGCTGGATGACCACACGAACGCACGAGGAGCCTTCAATAGCCTGGAGAAGGGTCGGTGGGTAGAATTCGGCTGGCTTGAACTTGACATCGCTTTCGCATCGGTCTGGATCGACAAACCAACCTTTCTAGTTCAACTGCGAGCGCTGCACGACAAGACCAAGCTCAACTGGAAAACAGCCGTTGGCCTCATCGCAACTGCTAAGGGCAACGCTCGCGACGTCAAACCAAAACACATCAAGCACGTACTAGAAGAAGCGCAAGCAACCGAGAGAAGCGTTACAGTCGCGCACAGAAAGACGGCTGTTTACGTTGATCAGAGAGAAGTGTACGGGCCTGCGACTGGCGACTGCGAGGAGCAGGAAAGCAACGCAGAACAAGACGAAGACGGAGACGTAACGCTCGTAGAACACGACCCCCCGACGCAGAAAACCCCCGATCAACCACCCATCACCCAGTCTGATCCCCCAAGCTGGGGCGAGGACGAAACGTGCTTAGACGACGGCATTGTCCCGGTGAACGAGACCGGAAGGCAGCATCTCCAACGTCAGCATCTCGACGAGCAGCGTATCGACCCGCATCTTGTCACGATGGCCACAAGCAATGCACAAAGCGTACAGCCTGAAGATCGGGTCGCGATTGTGAAGCGCTGGAAGCAGGAACTGGAGGACAGTCGCGCGAAGGCAAGGCAGTCTCGGGAAGCCAATGTTGCTGCCGGCGTACATCTCGAGGAAACAACGAACATATCGAACCTGAACGCACGCAAACGAGTCGCGCGTGTCGCCTTTGGTATACCAGATGATGAAAGTCAGATGGGTGATGAAGCCGCTCAAATGACTATGGCGGATGCGACGGCCGAGCTGGAACGTACATCTACGGCGTGGAAAGCCGATCGTGAAGAGACTGCACGGAAGGAAGCAGAGTTTGTCGACATCACGCGTGTAGTCCTCGAGGGGGTATGAGGGCTGTGAGATGATGGCACGACATCATAATTGTGGTGGCTATGAATCTGATGAAAGCAAATCGAGGGGGCATGAAATCGTGCGATCCGCAAATGTAGCGTACTCACCGTCACGGAATGAACGTGATTCTATATTTGGTGTAATAATGTAACGTCATGTACCTAGCAAGACTCTGCCTTTGGTGTTTCTCCTCGGCGTCGCATCTCCACCCAACTCACCACGAGGACAGGCAGTCTGATCTGCTCTGGGTCAGACTACGCGTAGCAACAGCTACATGACTAATTGATACGTTTCGATCTCGTCAAAGTGACCCCTTCAACCTCCCCGGTCTCGGGCCCTTACTATGCTGGCAATGTACTACCTGCACCCAATACAAGGAACGTGCTGAACGGGATTCCTGCTTACAGTCGACTGAGACACATCTCAGCGCACCTGCGATAACCCGGCTGCCCTCATCACCACGCCCACCCATGCCGTGCAGAGGATTACCGTAGCGTAAGACGCTGCTGGCTTCGCCAAACGGAAAGTATCCTTTGAGCACCATCAACGCTGTGCACGTGTGTTTCCCTGGTGACATCGATCGATATTGAGCGCGGATGGCTGGGTCGGAGCAATGTTCTCGCTTCTGATATATCCGCATCGCTTCGTCCGCTGTATAGCATATCTGCTGAGAGCCAGAGTTAGCGTCGGTGTTTGGGGGTATCTTCATGGACTGGAAATATGCACCGGAATAAGCTCGCTACTCAAACAGCTCTCGGCAGTCTATCGGCGTGGCTCTCGCGCATCCTATGCGCAACGAGGCGCACATATCTGCGACTGCTTCAATGGACACAAGGACGTGGGTATTGGCTACCGCATCCAGGAACGATCATCGTGAACAAGATCGGGCGACCGGCGATGCGCTCCACGCTATAGGCACTTCCTCGGCCGTGGTCTGTTGTTGGATATGTCGAGTGATCGGCATTGGTGCTTGGAGACGTCTGCGCACCCGCTAGCTCATGGTCGTACTTCTGTCGGCGCTGTGCCTTTCGCACCCGTGGTTGTCGTAACGGAGTATTGTGGAATTCGATCGCGACGCCTGCGGGAGCGTGTGTGTCCATGCGTGAGTGCGCGTCATGTCACAAGGTGGGGGTAGGTTGGGTCTGGGATGAGGTGCGGCCGAGGTCGACAAATTAGACAGGGATCCTCGACATCGTTGGGGAGCACGTGGAAAGCACGTGGTAGCGCCATCAAATTAAGCAGGTGGTGCTCATGTATACTTTCGTCCCAATACTTCGTCGTAGCATGCGATGCAGAATGCGATTACCCCTAGTGACGCTTCTGTCGAAGCCGAGTGGCTTGCACTCATGACTGTAGCCATGACCAGATCATCGCCTGGTCTGCGATCCATGGCGGTTCGCATGTGAAATGGAATGCAAGAAGTTGCCCTGCGGCATGTGATCGAGGGAGTCATCAGTATCGACTGAAGAATAGTGAAAGCTTGTGATATCGGCCATGTCCCCCATATTGCTCACCCTCGACCCGATCAAGTGTCCATCTTGGAAATTCTACGTCCGTCATGCGCGCGACCATGTCTATGCTAAGGTCCCGGAAGTTGGCTCTTACTTCCATCATCGGTTTCCAATGCCTTCCGGTTGTCCTCACCGCCATCCGTTCCGAGGATATGGCATTGGTGCAGGTGCTGGTCATGTTTTCTCTCGGATCCATTGGAAAAGTCTGCTGCCGTCGCGGCGCATGTCAAAAGTTGCCGTCCTTCCGTTGTCGGGCGATTGGTCATCGCCGCTGGTTAAGTCGCACAACAGCGTTGCGGATGGACTTTGGCAGATTGTGGCGGCCAGCGATGGCTTCCAGTCGGGACGGCTTCAGGTCAGGATCGTAATCTCGTTCTGATTGAATATGGCGAGTCTCGGCTGGCAGCGACGCCTATCGCTTGTGATTGAAGATGCTGTGTCGCGATGAGGTTGACGCGTAGCGGGGTGGCTCGCGCGTCATCGGGCATGGTCCACTCTCATTGGCTGATCAGCAGGTGGGCGATTTTGCCGACCCCGCGAAACTCGAAGCCGCCACATCTCCTTCACCTCACGTATGCATCCTCGTTCCACTAATCACTCCCGGTAATTCTCGTAGCACACACAACGTCTTTCCTTCACTTTCCGGGGCAGAAATCCATCAACCTATTGCGCATACGTGGCCCGCGCGATGCCCATGTGTGACAAGGACCATTCCACCCACGTCCGTTACCCTGCCTAGTTGCTGCATCCGTCCAGCGTTATGTCGATTCTCTCTGTCATTTTCTATCGATCGACTGTCGCAAATTCCATGTTTCGAGCCAGTCTCCACGGCCTTCTTGGTGTCCCCAGGAACAGAACACGTTCACGGTACTGGTCGTGTCAATGACGGGTTTCGATACATGCGCCTCAAAATGAGTTTTCCTGCGACATTGATATTCTCTGTATCACTTCCTTATGGTATAGAAAACATCTAATTCGTGTGTCGACTCAGCATATTGCCATGTATCACCGTACTTTAGCCTGTTACCACATATGACCTCACACTTGCTTTAAACGCAACGAGAAGAAGCCACGTATGACGCCAATCGGTGGAATATCTGCGTCTGTATTCATTGGTAGACGGCCGCCTCTTTGCTATAATGTCGCGGGTGGAGCTTCGTCGGATGCGGGTCGTTGCGGCGCTAGCGCCAAGGATGTTAGGGCATGATGCAGGTACACAAACAGTTCGAACGCGCACTTGAATCAAAGTGAAAAGTACGTGCGAGCCACCCGACACTCGCTTCCTCTCGCGCTTCCAACCGTTCACTGTCATCGTAAAAGACACTAGTCAACGACACGACTAGTTCCTTTCCAAGGTCATTGACATGGAGCGACCGCGTCCGCAACAATCACGTCCAGTCAACGATATATCGCCCCAATCCGGCAAACGAGCGGTCAAGTGCGCAGAACATGAGAAGCTTGAGAGACATATCATGGTGAAATCTGAGCAACTAGAAAGTGCGTCAATATTAACCCGCTTTCTCTTCCCCAATGCTGACCTTTGGCCAAGTCAAGATCGAAGACAGTCCCTCATCACCGCCCGTATCTTCCCACGCACACATCGGCTCCTCGTCTTCAGAAGCTAACATAAGTTCCCCGTTATATTCAAGAGATCTCAGCACTCGGGCGTCTCTACAGTCTTCATTTCGGCCAATCATCCCCACCACCTACACAACATCTCTGAACAAGGGCGATACGTGCATCCCCACTGCCCAAAGTCTTCGAGCTGCCGGATTCATTCACCCCTCATGGCCCGAAGCTCGATCGCGGGCACCCTACGTCCTGCCCAGGGGCTGGTACCGAGCATCAGATGAGAACGGCAATACGTACTTCTACAATGGCTTGGGCGTTGCGACCTGGCTGCGACCGACGGAGGTACCTGGTTTGCTTCCGATCACTCAAGACATGGTAGACCGATACAATAATCCACGAGCCTGGGCAGAGGCTTCACTGCACGCCACCAAGCCGACTGAGACACTGAATACCCCTCCGATCACCCAACGTCTGGTGAATAAGTACAATAGTCGAGCCGAGACAGAAGTGGCAGAGAGGTTACCGCAGACCCCCGAGCAGGCTGACGTGCCGACTGACCAGCCCGAACCTGAGGAAATCCCTTACGCGCAGCAGCCCACACCTTCGGGCTCTCAAGGCGCCGTTCCATACAACGCGAGCTCAATGCCATGGGCACCCCGCCGCCCTTCGCTGCTCCGCTATGAAGCCTCTGCCAGATTTCCAGAAACTGGAAACCGTCATGCGCCACCGGAATTACGTCGCTCAAGATCCCCACGCTCCCCACCGCCAGCCCTTCGTAGACCTCGCTCCATCGAACGTAGTCGCAGGGGAGTTCGTTTCGCCCTCGATGAAGATGAAACCACCACCACCACCACCTCCACTACCATTGCTGCAGAGACGAGGCCAAAGTTCCACAGCAAAGAACCATTCAGCCACCAAAAGGGCAAGGAACACATCCAAACCTGTTATTTCTGGAACCATCCGACCATTCCTCGCTGCATTAACGGCAATCGCTGTCGATTTATGCACGAATGTAGTCAGTGCCATAGTATGGCTCACGGGCGCGCTCACTGCGACAGTGATCTTGGTGAAGGTTATCGTCGTGGTCCACGCCGAGAGGGGAACGCATACTCACGTCGCTGAGATACGTCATGCGACCGCGCATTCAACAATGGAAAGACAGAGGAGGCGAAGAGGCTTTGTCGTCGAGCGTAAAGGAGGGAGTGTACTGACGTGGATGCCGATGATGGCAGTCAGCGGGAGGATATGGTGGTCATCTTGGGAAGATGCGGTGTGTTGCTTCATAGCCGCGAGCCTGTAAGAAAGCCGAGGATGTAGTCACCAAGTTGTCCGGTGAGATGATGAATGAACTATAATTGTGTAGAACAAACTTCCCGATGTATTTCGAGGCAGAGCAGACACAGCACATGTAGGTCGTTGCTCTAATGTACTGCGCTCTTGCAGGCCGCCCTTATCCGCGTAGTCTGATCACGAAAGCTCTCCTGTCACTTCGTGCCCTGACCGAAACGTCACTGTGTTGTTCCTTTGGTGGCGCGGCTGGGTTTCGATGCCGAGACTCCATGGGGAGTGTGGGAGTCTGCAGATTGGAGTTTGAAGATTTCAGGTCTGCCGTCTGTCAGGGCTCAATGCAGCAACCTCGACTACTTAGTAAGGCTCCATCCCGCTCACTATGTTGTCTTGCAATAGCCCCGTGGCACCCTCCAAAGTCATCAGCAACATTTCGCCACAAATGCTACCACACCGAACGTTGCATTCAATTTACCCGAGCACAAACGCGACAGAACTGGGATAAGCTCTGTACATGACAAGTGGCATGCTGTTGGTAGATGAAACTGGTCAGCCCAGGATGTCACCATTTCCCCGCGACGCGCTTGCGCGGGAAGCGCGCCATCACGTGATGATGACGCGCCGCATATT